ATATAGTTACCTGGATCAATTTCCTTTTTTTTTATTTGAAAGTCAGAGTTACAGAGAGGCAGAGGTAGAGAGAGAGGTGTTCTATCCGCTGGTATACTCCCCAAATGGCCATAACAGCTGGAGCTAGGCTGATCCAAAGCTAGGAGACAGGAGCTTCTTCTAGGTCTCCCATGTGAGTGCAGGGGCCCAACGACTTCGGCCATCTTCTGCTGCTTTCCCAGGCCACAGTGGAGAGTTGGATCAGAAGTAGAGCAGCTGGATTCAAACTGGTGCCCATAGGGGATGCTGGCACTGCAAGCAGAGGTTTTACCCGCTACGCCCCAGCAGTGGGCCCCTGGATCAATTTTCAACATACAGACAATAAGCAAAGGCATTTACATGAGACGCCTTGACCACCATTTCACTTTCTAATTCTTCCTGATTGTGACCTTCTGCTTTGAATAAAAGAGAAAAAACAAGAGCTGAATGTACATGATTTTGAATATTATTCAGCCCCAAATTAACTTTTTATCATTTTGATAAGACATTAGATTTTATATATGTAAAATACATCAAGAAATAAATTCCAAGACTCCAAAATCATTAGCTAAGCACACAAAATAGCTTGCACAAAAAGTATATCCATCCTCAGGTCTCTCCCGTCCCATGCCCCAACCCTGACAGTGATTTTGTGCTATTTTTTTTTTTTTTGACAGGCAGAGTGGACAGTGAGAGAGAGAGACAGAGAGAAAGGTCTTCCTTTGCCGTTGGTTCACCCTCCAATGGCCGCCGTGGCCGGTGCGCTGCGGCCGGCGCACCGCGCTGATCCGATGGCAGGAGCCAGGTGCTTCTCCTGGTCTCCCATGGGGTGCAGGGCCCAAGGACTTGGGCCATCCTCCACTGCACTCCCTGGCCACAGCAGAGAGCTGGCCTGGAAGAGGGGCAACCGGGACAGAATCCGGCACCCCGACTGGGACTAAAACCTGGTGTGCCAGCGCCGCCATGCGGAGGATTAGCCTAGTGAGCCGCGGTGCCGGCCTGTGCTATTTTTTTTTAAAAGATTTATTTACTTGAGAGGCAGAGTTACAGACAGAGAGAGGGAAAGACAGAGAGGTCTTCCATCTGCTGGTTTACTCCCCAAATGACTGCAACATTAGAGCTGGACAGGATGCTTCTTAAGAGTCTCCCACGCAGGTGCAGGGGCCCAAGCATGTGGGACATCTTCCACTGTTTTCACAGGCCATTAGCAGGGTGGTGGATTGGAAGTAAAGCAGCAAGGACTTGAACTGGTGCTTATATGGGTTGCTGACACCACAGATGGATGCTTAACCTACTATTCCACAGCAGTGGCCCATGATTTTGTGCTATGTTTACCCATGTAATCTCTACTGGATGAAGTCTGACAACATGATTTCATTTCCATATCCTGGTGTTTCTAATGGGCTATCCATAATGGCAATATTCCATAAAACAAAAATTGCTTATTCACAGATTTTCTTTATGGAAACTCATCTATACTTTGTGGGTTTAGTTTTTCACTTTTAATTCATTTAGTCAACAAGTATCTCTTGAGTCATCCTGTATGCAAAGACTGGGGATACAGCAGTAAGCACGTGAATGAGGCAACATTATCTGCACTCAGGTGGGTTGGGATACAGTGGGGTTTCAGATATTAGAGAACCTGGGGCTTGTGATGTGGAGCAGTGGATGAACTCATAGCTTGCAATGCTGGCATCCTATATTAAATTGCTGGTTCAAGTTCCAGTTGTTCTACTTCCAATTAGGCTCCCAGCTAATGTGCCTGGAAAAGCAGCAAATGATGATCCAAGTACTGGTGTCCCTACCATCCATGTGGGAGACCTGGATGGAATTCAGACCTGGTCAAGCCCTGGCCATTGCCAATGAACCAGTGGATAAAATCAGTCCTCTCTCTCTCTCTCTCTCTCTCTCTCTCTCTCTCTCTCTCTCTCTCCATCCCCACCTCTCTGCCTTCCAAATAAGTGAGTAAACTTTTTAAAAAGATTTTAAAGAATGAATTGAGGAATGGGTCATTCACTACAATGATGAAAACATCTATGAATAAAAGAAAAGGTGCTATGAGTGTTTAAAAGAGGATTCATCTCTCACAAGGATCAGGGGAGATTTTTCTTGATCAGTGGTATTTGCTCAGAGGGTTGAAATGTTAGATGGGATTGTTAGCTAAACCATCTTGCATAGGGGCTGTTGGAGAAAAGCATGCACAGAGCTTCTGAGATTGGGAGAAACATGTTTAAGGAGTTAAAAGGAATCTAGTCAGCCAGGGACGTGGAGAATGAGAGATATGGAGGCCACGTGAGGAGGTGATGGAGAGCTTCCCTTATAGGAGACACTCATGCAATTGTTTTATCTCAGGACCAATGGCCACTGTAGGGATTTAAGGGAAGAGATGAACCATGATATGTGAATCAAAGAAAACATCACTTCGGGCCAGAGTGAAAGCCGGGATATCAGTTAGGACGCTCTTGCAGTTGCTAATTCCCTGGATTAGAGTGGTGGCAATTGGCCTGGACAGAGTAGAGATGGACAGGGTGAAAGCAGGTGAAATGAGTGTGGAGGAAAGATTCCTCAGGAACCAGGGGAGGCTTAATGTCAATGGCTGGGGCCTTGCGTTTGCAACAAAACCCAGTGCTTGGAGGGACAATTAGAAGTGAATTTTTGCTTTTGTCTTCCATCATCTGCTGCCAGATAGAAATTTGGCTGAATAAAAAAAGGATTCAGCTTTCTACTGAAGTAAAGTCATCTGAGGATGTGATCTATCGATTTAAAAATAATTTTATCAAAATCACCTGGGCTAGGCACCGGGCCACAGAGAAGACTGGGTCTTGGTCACTGCCTCTCATGTTCCTAGTTTCCTAATGGGGAGACAGAAATGTCCACAGAGCCACAATCCTAAATGTGCCACAATCCTACCCACTCTTTGGACTATGTTCGAGGGAGACATTAGGGGAGCCAGGAAAGCACCATGGTGGTGAAGAGAACTGGTTCTGAAGCTTGGCTGGAATTTGGACATGCCTGTTTACTAACTTCCTCTTCTAAATTTTCTCCTCCAAGAAATGGGAGTAATCATCATAAGGTAACTATGACACTTATGTGGCATGATACATGAATATTATCAATCCACCAGGCCCAGAGCAACTGCTTAATAAAAGCAATAAATTTAACTATTGTAATATCATAGGAAGGGGCCAGTTCATCATCTGAGTAGAGTCGGGGATGTTTTCACAGTATGGCATTTACATATTACTTAAAGGTACACATGGTCCACCTTTAACAAATGCATATGTAAGGAGCAAATGTTTTATAGGAATAAAATAATTTATGGGGAATTTGTGAAATGTTAAGTGCTGCTATGAGCATTTTAAAGATATTTCTTGATTTAAATCTCATCCAACCCTAAAAATAAATACTAATTACTATCATCATTTCACAGACAGGAGTCCAGAGTCCCCTAAATCATTCGGTTAAGTAGGTTGTAAATTAGAATTTAGATCCAGTCTAGTCCAATCCAAACCTTTGACTCTGAACTTCTATAATATTTCCTTCTTTGCATAGAACCACCACAGTATTCAATGTGATTTTGCTCATTATGTATCCATTCAATTGATAATAAAAATACATTGCTATAAATAGACAATAAAATATTTACAGCACTTTATCTGAATATCTTGTAAGTACTTATTATAGACCACATACATATAGGGGGATAAAAAATAAACCAGCAGTTATCCCGGCTTCCACAAAACATTACCATATCCATTCTGTGGAAAGTATATTCAGACTTTTACCCCCTCAAAGCATTGATGTCTGAGTGTGGTTATATGTAAACTTATATTTCTATGACACAAAATGAATGAGAACACTGTGTACATAAAACTTACCTTTTTATTAGAGATATATTATGAAATGTTTTTGTGTTTGGCATGGTAGTACTTATTACAGTTCATGGCACATAGTAAAGACTCAGCAACTGTTAGATGCCACTGTTATCATTGTCATCTTGACAAATCGTCCTCCAAGAAGGGTGACATCCCAAATATGCAAGACTATTCTTTTTAAAAATATATTTATTTATTTGAGCGACAGTGAGAGAGCAAGATCCTGTCTGTTGGCTCACTCCCAAATGCCCACAATCCCTGAAGCAAGAGTCAGGAATCCAACTGGAGGTGCCACATAGGTGTCAGGGACTCAACTACTTGAGTTATAGCCACCGCCTCCCAGGGTCTAAGTAGCAGGGAGCTGGAGTCAAGAGCCAGATCTGGGTATCAAGTTTAGTTTCTCTGATATGAGACACGAGCATCTCACCTGCTATGTCACGAGTTGCTCTTGGGAAGTGATTTCATTCCAACATGCTTCTATCTTCATCACACGTGGCTTCTTTCACTGAATTTCTTTTATTGTCAATGTTGAAGATTAAAAGTGGAATCATGTAATTTTATTTTGTGCTTATTTTATTGTTAATGATATTAACATTAGTCATTTGTATTTTTTGAAATTTTCTTCAGTTATGTTTCTATCAGTTGGCTCATTTTCTTTCTAGTTTGTATAAGCACCCTCTAAATTAAGATTGCTATATATTAAGGGTATATTGCAGATGTTTTTTTCCAGCGTTTGAGTTGATTTTATCTAGGTTTTAGGTTTTTTAAAATAATGAATTAAAAATTGTTTATCAGTTTTTTTATCATAGTGTTACTCTTATATTTCACAAATAAATGTCTTATTCATGGAATTTATGATGTAAGAAACAGATATTGATTCTCCAAAATTTGGAGACCTTAGTATAAGAAAAAAAGTCAAGTAGGGCTGGTCTTGTATTGGTGGTGTTGCTGGAAAGAATTGAAAAGTTCTCTCTTCTGCAGAGACTTTCTGTGGCTTGGCTATCTTTAACAGGAGTTTTGCTTTTCAAAGTAAGAAAACATGAGGGGTTTTCTTTTGTTTTCACTTTAGTTGCTTTAGTTGAAGCCTCAGCATGTCTTGTTTTTCAGGTAATCCACTACAAAGTACCACACATCAAAAGGGGCTCATCTTGGTATTAGAGTTGGGAGTTCTGATACTGGGGAGTTTGTTACATCTTTGAAGTTCAATAACAGGTAATGGAGCAAATGCTTCCTCATCTTTCATTGCATTTTTTGTTATGAAAAAGGTAGTGCTTTAATTTCTCCAAAAAATATGTGTATACTGTAATGTTAACTGGGTAAATCATGTGCAGGTCTTATTTGTAGACTTGAAAGAATACTGACAGATGTGCAATGAAATTCTGGTTTATCTTACGGATTTAAGTTTTAACAGTTGGCTTTTTAAGTTCTGCAAGAAAACCATTTTATGCATTATTTTTATTGTGAAATTGATCAAATACCATAGATGTATTCTTTCTCCTTGCCCAGAGATTCATGTTTTTCTGAACACTTTAATCTTACATGTAGTGGGAAATCTTTTTTCTCTTCTAGCTTTGATTTCTACCAATCTGATCACATACATGGCTTCTGACAGCAATGCTCTTGTAAGTACCCTTTGAAACACCTGGGTTTTAGATATTATTAGGTGGACAACACAGAAGAATAATGGACAAGTTCATTTTAATCTTTGCTGCCTATTTATTTATTGTCCTCTATTTCATTAGCCATATTAGAATCAAGTGAAGCTGTTATCAGGTTTCAAGGACTTTATGGTCAGCAGGAATTTAAGACCTCTGGAGCTTTATTTTATTAAGAAACATGACCATTTTAATGTACTGTGCATAATTATCCCTATGACTTATAAAGATGCCGACTATAGTACTAGTGTGATCTCTATAGGAAGAATTCCATTAATAATTTTGTTGAAATTGTGGGTTTGATTTAAAACAATTTTATGACCATAAGTTTGCCTAAGACTGGTAAGTAAACTGAGTTAGCATGTTTTCTCTATTAGACAAAGAAACTTATTTGCACCTGCTTTCTTCCCCAAGCAAGACTTTAGGTCCCTTCCTTCTACTTCCCACAGCAGTGAAAGAGGTACCTCATGATGTAGTAATTAGTTTTTTTTAAATTTAGAATTTTTTAGCATATAAAATTCGGTCACTTTTCTTATTTTCTGTTTGCCCTTGGACCTCATAATCCCAGTGTCATTTAGTTGAGGGTCAAGTCAAGCAAAATTTGGGAATCAACATGTGCAACTTGAGTCACAACCAGTATTAGTAACGTGGCATTTCTAATGGAAGGGGATGTACAGCCATGTGGGGCTCTACAGCATGCACGTTTGGCAAATCTAAGACTTCATGATGGTTGCAAAGGACAAAATTCTTGGAGAAGATCTTAAAGCAGGACCAGAAGCAATGTGAGCAGAGAATACAACACAGACTTCCTGCCAAATCTGGAACGTGGACAACGGTTTCCCGAAATCAATTAGAAAATGGGTATCAAGCAGGTTGCAGTAGCACTGATAGAAAAAGTGTTCTCCTGGTAGCAACTCTGGATGTTTTCGACCTTTGTCATCCCAGGGGCTGTGCTCTGCTCCTAGACTCAACCAGCCAGGCTGTCCTTGTGTACTGTCAGCGTCTGGGTGATAGGTCTGCCCATCTTCCAGCTGCTTTTCAGTGATTACCCTGTTTCATCTTTCCATTCAGAAAATGAGCTCAATTTTCTGCTGTCATTTGTTCTCTAAGTAAAACAAAGCACAGGAGATCTAATTGTATGCCTTGTAGTGTGTTCCCATGGGTTTGACACCTCTGACCTAGTCACATCCCAAATTACACTTCATTTCCACTAAACTAATATTTACTGAGCTGTCTGTGCTGTACGCTGCGCTTGGGGCTTGGGTAAGAAGACAAGTTTAGCATCTCATCAGAAAGAAGATTTTCTTTAAAAATTTACTTTACTCATTTGAAAGACAGAGTTGAGGGTGGGAAGAGAGAGTCACAGAGTTCTCTATCTGCTCATTCACTCCCCAAATAATTACAATGGCTGAGGCTGGGCCAGGCCATAGCCAGGAGACAGAAGCCCCAACTGGGTTTCCCATATTGGTGTAGGTACCCAAGCACTTGGGCCATCTTCTGCTGCTTTCCCAGGCACATCCGCATGGAGCTGGATCACAAATGAAACAGCCAGTGGTGGAACTGATGCCCCCGTGGGGATGCCAGCACTGCGGGTGGTCCAACTTCTCACACAGGACACTGGTCCCTAGAAGGAAGCGACTTTTAAAGCATTTTCATTGGTTCTAGCCTGATAATTGTCATTGCAGTTGGTATGATAAATGGTGCTGATAAAACAGCTCGGAATTTAGAACTGAATCACAAATATTTGACATTTTATTATGTTTATACTCTGTTTGTATTTGAGCAGCACTGCTGTCTTTAGTAGAGCTGCTTTATGCCCAGTAGAATTCTTTTATCTCTCTTAAATAAAATGATAGAGTTTTCAAAGTTAAATATCAGGTAGAACCCAAAATATTAGCTCAAGAATTTTGGTTTGGTTTCTTAAATATTTCCATCTTTCACAGTCACAATGCTTGCTCCTTCCTGCTTCTCCTGGGGATCTTTCCTCTGCATCTGTCCCACTCTAATCTACAAGCCCCACAACACTGAGTCGTCTTAAATGGAAGTCTGTGCTACTCTACAGCTTCCATCAGTTCAGTGGCTTCCCAGTGGCCTTCAGACAAACTGCACAAGGGTAACTCACAAGGCCCTGGCAGAGGTGACTTTGTCACTCTTGTAGTGGTTGACCCCTACTCTCTGAGGTTGGTGCACACTGGGTTGTACCTGCATCACTGTATCCAATGCTGTGTGACTCAGGGCTTTGTCTTTTTGATCTTATTCATCCACGGAATACCTGCCCCCTGACTCCCAAGTTCTGGACAGCATGAATTTCTCCTTTGAGGTTCTGATGGACCCTCGTGCAGATCTTGTTAGCCTTCTTTGTCTATTTTCCATATTTGACTGGAAGCTGTGTGGGAGCTTAGTTACCGTCAAGTCTCTGGTCTGTGGCACCGAGTAACGGTGCAATAAACAAAATACACAATTTATAGATTGTGACCTGAAAGAAAGAATTAATGTAACCCCTTTCAGGACCTGGGTCACAGTTTGTTGGAAAATTTTCAGCATAGACATTAGATTTGGTGTAAAACTTAAACATCTCCAAGGATCTGTTTATTTAGTCCTTGAAGTTGATAAATTCTCATGCAATGCATTACAGTGGTGACAAAATATGATGTGTTAAGTCACTTTGCTTAGTTTGTTTTTATCATTAGTTTCACATTAAAATAAACAAATGAATAAACAAATAAAAATTAAAAAATAAATAAGTAAATATAGCAAATATTGCTCTTTAAAGCCTAATTAGAAAATTTTCTAGTGTTAGATTTTAGTAAAATGTTTTGGCTAATAAAGGAAAACATGCTTCTTTTAAGGATGACAGGTCTCACAAGAGGGCAATGGATATTCTCTTTTAATATTATATATAATTATTTTATACAAAACTTCTAAATCCTCTGGATTTCAGGGATGGTTCCTTTGGGGAAGAAATGTCAGAATTATCTCAGATCAAGGCTTTACCACAGTGCTTTAGGAGGAATTCCTCTAGATATAATTTCTTGATTAAATACTGCCAGACTAGAGAATGTCACGTGAAAAGCTGTTCTGGAAACTAAAAAGTTTATGCCTCTCAGTCGTGGTTCCTGCGCTCAGTTTCCATGCTGAGGAGGAAAAGGTCAGTGAGTGTGAATGACCAATTCCTTCTGGCACCGTAGTGAAGTTCATTGCTGCTGTGTGGACTCTCATCTGTGGGAAGATCTAAGAGCAAACTGGAACTTCCTGTGTTGGTCTCACAAGAAAGTTCAGCGTTCATGACTCACCAAACACCTATGGCCTATTCTTTCTGTGGGGAGCAACTCGGACTAGACTAAGTTACTGGAATTAAGACTCATTCTATGCATCTGCTCTCCCACAATATGGCGCTGAGAAGGGAGCAACAACTTCTTTGCAGCTGCCTCTCGCCAACTTGATTGACTGAGCTGCAGGAGCTGATCTTGCTCCTGATTGGAGGAGAGCAGCGTACTCGGCGTGTGGGTAGCAGAGTTGGGATTGGTAGAAGAGGACTATAAAGGAGGAGAGAGACAACATGCACCAGGAACATCTAAGGGGAACATCTATCTGAAGGAACACCTGTGCAGCCCCCGAGAGAGCCGGCCGGTGGTGTGCCGCTCCCCCGCGGAAGTGGGTAAAGTGGCTAGGGGGAACCGCCCTTCCACGGAGGTGGAAGGGTTGGTAGCCAACCCGGGAAGAACCAGCAGCAAACCCGGGGAGGGCCGAGCAGACAAAAGAACAGCGCAGGGTCCTGTGTCGTTCCTCCACGAAGACGGGGAGCGACACTTTCTGTGACCATATCCAGTGAATAGCTCAGACCCCAAATCTGCCCCCTTATAACTCATTCTACCCCTCTCTCCATCTCTGTGCTCATGGTGTGAACTTCAGGCATGTTGTAGCACGTAGGGAAAAAGTGAGGAGTTTGTCACATTTCTGATCAACTGAAAGCAGCTGAAATTTTGGCAGCTTGTTTTTGGGTTACGTGATCATCGCCCCAAGTTGAAATAACTGCTAAAGCTGTGTGCACATGTCTAACACATCTCCAGTGGAAGAGATGATTGTCTTCTGGGGAAGAGGCTCTGAGGAGTAGGAGGGCTTATTAGCTACCCCTGCAAACTCCTGTCCTTTTGCCACCTCTGCCCCATGCATTCTCTATTTCTTGAGATCCAGATCTCAGTATTGGTATGGTGAAGTTGAAACATGATACTGGAGAAAGGTATTGAGGGTTTTAAGGAAACAGTATTTTAGGCAAAACTAGAGATTTGTTTAGCAAAAGTCCATTGTATCTTCTAGAAAATACCAACAGCCAATTTTCCACAGAGTTCAAGTTTAATGTCAGTCTATCCCAGGGGGTTTTCTCTACCACTTTTGGGATGAGAAACCTATTGGAACAACTTCATGTTGCTAGTATTATTTACTAGGGAGAGGTACTTTGTATCTGTAAATAATCAAGCAGTAGTTAGTTTTCTAGATATGTATCCAAATCTCCATGCTGAGATAGACACATGGGAAGGTATTATAGGAGGTAAAAACTGATAGAAGACACAGTCTTTTCATTATATATTTTTTGAGTGCTCATTGTGTGTTCAATATGGGGCTAAGCCCTAGATTTTAAGGGCATAGCAGGCTCAAGAACAGCAATTCTATTTTGGGGTTTTGGCCAGTCATGGACATATTCTAAGGTGAAGTCTAATTGTCCAGTGGTGTGCTGCATGTACATTATAAACAGGGATATCAGGAATGAAATGGTCATTGTATAGGAGAGAACTGATTAAGATCTAAAGCAGCAATCATGGAGATGAGAGGGAAGAAAGTTTTGAGAATCATTAGGAAGTAACCCGGACAGGCATGGTGACTGAGTAAATGTGTGGGCTGGGGGAAGGGTTGATATGAGATTACTCATTGGTTCTGGGTTGAGCCAGTGGGTGGATAGTGTTACTACA